TAACGGTTTGGATGGGAATGGGAATTGCGATTTATCACGGGAACGCTCCCATTTCCCATTCCCGTGGAAATACCGCGGTATTTTTCCCGCGGGAATATTCCTGAGAGGAGCCTTGTAAATTTGTACCGGCCCTTAACCGTGTCCGATCTGTTTTTCGATTTTTTTGAAATATATATGCATGCGCCACCCCGCGTGCATGAGCGCCCGAGAGAAACCAGTCGGCCTGAAAAAGGCCGCATTTTGCATGTATTCTGCCCCCTCCGACCAGGCGGGGGGGGCGGGGCAATGACAAAAACAAGGCAAAAATACCAAGAATTATCCCTGACCCTAAACCTAGCCCCCCCTCTACTCAACGATCCATGACGCGTCCCCCATACTAAAAACAGCATAATAGTGGCCCCCACACTGAAAACAAGACACTTGGGGGGACCACACTAAAACCAAGACACTTACGGGGCAAAGCAAGCAACAGTAGGGCCCTCATCCAACCCCCCCCTCTACTCAACGATCCATGTCGCGCCCCCTATACTAAAATCAGTATAGTAGTGAACCACACTAAAACCAAGACACTTGGGGGTCACACATTAAAACCAAGACACTTGGGGGGTCACACTAAAATCAAGACACTTGCGGGACAAAAAGAAGGGTTGGTTGGTGGCGGGGAAAAAAAAGAAAAAGTCGACAATTCTTCCTCATCATCACTTGGACTCGATGCCGCCGCAATCTTTGAAGGGGTGAGAAGCGACAGCTGCCCACTTTGCTTCGTTTGAAAGGTCCAGCTCCTGGGTGTTGTCCATCTGGGTTTTGACCCGTTTCCACAACTTGGACGGGTACTTCTTTCCAACACCGTAGCGTTCGCAGATCGGGTCAAGCACGCCCTTGGGAATCCTTGACAACCCCGGCTGAATGCCCATCGCAATTTCTACCGCCATGGCATAGCGCCTACCAACCGATAATTCGGTGCCCCTTTTGCGAGGTGGTGTGCTGGGGGGCGATTCCATCGCTAGAGTAGGGTAGTAAAATGGATTTGAGAATTTTGTCGAGAATTCTCAAAAAATATCCCAAAATATTTTCTCAAAAATATTCCCAAAACAGGCCAAAATAGGGTACATTTTTGCCAATAGTAGATACAGAAATAGATGTTCGTTTTTTTTTAATTTTTTTTCCATCGCTTCTTCTTTGTTATATCTTTCTTACAAACCCGACTATGCTACCATCACTAACACGGTTGCACCCAGACAATCTATTGCATTTAGGTACCCTAACTTATGATACAGAGGAAGTATGTGTCTGGCAAACTCAAAAACCAATCAATCTGTGAGGTTTCAGTATGTAGCTATCCCCACTCAATCCATGCGTCACGCGTCTTTGGTAGCGCATACTATGGGGGCTATATTTGGGGTGGCGTGTTTTAGAGCGCTTTGCCAACAGCGCCAACCCACTGAAGTCTAGAGAGGGGGGGGGAGGACGGCTTGTTTTACAACGTCGTTGCCAAGCGACGAAAACCCAACCCCGATGGCAAACACCGGGGAGGGGGGGGGCAGCATGGGTAAGGCTAATATATCCTTCGGATCAAAGACAGAAACCGCAGCAACAACAGAAGAAAATTGCACGCGTCTACCAAGGCTAATACCTTGTACTCGAGTTCGTTTAGGAGTACTTTCATCATCATTATCCTTGTTTTCGCTACCATCATTCTGATTCTCATTTTGACAAGAATCTCTGGGCAGTTCTTCCCTAGCCCTACGTTTTTTGTTCTGGGGAAGGTCATCTAGCTCAAACCCTTTGCTCTCTTCCACTCCTTCATGTTTTCCGCCTCCATCGTCGTCTTCGTCCTCCCTTCTTCCCTTTCCCTTTCCTTCGTCTCCGTCACTCCCAAAAGAATTGCCCTCATTACTATCGTTGTCGCAGAGATCCCTACCGATTGGCCCTGCCTGGTGGAAGTTGGTCGATCAGTAGCCCATGACGTTTGAACACATCGCGAGTTCGCATCGACAGAAAACGAGCTAGCTCGAAGGTAAACCGTCTCCGAATCCTGTTAGTTTGAAAATCTTTCAGACGGACTAGTCTAAGGCTCTTTCATCGTCAAAATTCCCCCGGCAAAACGCTTCCTGCGCGAAGTGGTTGGCGATAGCAACGATGAGTCGATTGGTGCCTTTGTCAAGAATACCACAATTCGTTGAAAAAGCAGCAGCAAGAAGGATAGGTTTAGACGGACGGGTTGAAAGTTCCCGCATAATGATTTGCCTTACTGCAGCTCGAACTTCGAGGGCGGATCCTGGCTTTTGGATCGACTTGTCGATGCTTCGTGCGAATAGGTTGACGATTGTTACATCTATAAGAATGGACTTTGTGCAGAGTTCCTCTTCCTTCTCTCCTGCGTGTAATCCTGGTGGGATTACCAAATCCATCCTGTATAGCCCCTTTCCCCTACCAGGGCCTATGGTGAAAGGGGGAGAATCCTCAACGGCGATGGGCATATGACACTCGCGCAGTGTCTTGAGGACTACTCGAACC